GATACATGAAACATTTTATGGTCAGTAACTGCAAACAGCTTGCTTTTCATAGTCTAATATTCTAAGTGTTCCATCCATATTTAATGTCTTTTTCATCTCGCCATGGTGTTTGGTAGTCCTATTCAACATTGTAACCTCTACCTTATGTATAGGCAGGCATAATCCTGTTCAATAAATACAGAGCACCAGCAGGTGAAGATATTTTGTTTCTTTTCATAAGATACCCATTTGCCTAACACTGATAATTCCATTGGCTATGCCATTTTTGCATTCCCAGTAGCATCATCTTTTAATTGTATTAGCTTGAATTAGTCATATTTATAACTTACCTTCCTAATTCCTCCTTGTCATTTCCCCCTACATCAGTCCTTTCCATCTGTCTCAGAAACATGGCAGCTCCCTGGGGACCCATGCTTGACACTTCTCTTGATCTCTGAGCCTTTGATTAAAACCACTGAGTGAAAGTTCTCCCTCATCCTCATAGTCTACCTAGCATTCTTCTTTCCCAGCTCCAGATTTTGCAGGCATGGTTGTTGGATTTGTATCTTTACTCGGCACATCAGAAGTATTTTAATATCAATATATGTTGGTACCTGTTTAATTTCTTTCTTTGAAGCCTCTATTACCATGTTACTTTAGTACACAAGACTTTCTTCTTGCCTCTGTCTTAACTATTACCCGCACTCTCTTCAGTCAGTGTTATTTTGGAGGGTTACTTTTACTCATGCCATCTAAGATAAAATGCTTCTGTCATCTATAGTCATAAACATATACAGATATAAATGCAAGAACTCAAAAGCATATACATGTATATTCAGATGTCTAAACATCGTGAGAACAGGAAAATTTCCCCTAGTACTGAGTAAATAAATGCCTGACTGGTAGGAAATATCCACATTGTTTAAGGAATAAAAGATAATATGCAAAATTAATGTGTCAATAATGCCTTTTTTTGGAGGTTTGATTTAACTTTGTATCAAAGTAACCCATGTCGATGTTAAATATTTTCCTTGGCCTTATATGAAATATGAATTCATCAGTTCATTTTCCAAGTATCAACAAAGCAAATATTTTTTTTCCTTTGTTGTGTTTGTTTTTCTGGATAACCTGCTATGTGCTTCTGTACTTTGATCAGTTTTTATTTGCAGTCACTACATCTCCCTACCTTCTATTTCTTCTTTCCTACATCTTGTGTATCCCTGTTTTATTCCTTACCTTAAAAAAAAACAAAACAAAGTTATGAGATGTGTTGCAGAGGGAGAGAGCTCTTTTTAGGCTGGGTACCTACAGTATGACTTTGTTTTCATCATAGACTTGAAACATCTGAAAATAACATGTTATCTGTATTTGGTCATTTTCTTTCAGTAAAAATGTGAAATTTAGGCTGAGAAAGTGGCTCAGTGGTAGAGTGCTTGCCTCACATGCATGAAACCCTGGGTTCGATTCCTTAGCACCACATAAACAGAAAAAACTGGGAGTGGCGCTGTGGCTCAAGTGGTAGAGTGCTAGCCTTGAGCTGAATAGCTGAGGGACAGTGCCCAGGCCCAAAGTTCAAGCCTCACAACTCACCA